TTTTTTTTTTTTTTTTTTTTTTTTTGATGAATCAGTTTGCATTTATATTTTCGATTGGCCGGATTATTCGTCATAAATATGTGTATTCTAAATTTTATATATGTCATCAGTTATAATAAATTTTAAATAAAAGCACCAGTGAGTGTGCTGAAATAATAATTTGTTGACGAGATGACAATTTGTTTGAACAATAGTAAATAAAAATAGAGTGAAACCTTTCTATAAATTGGAGATAAATATAATTAATGTCTCAAATGTCGAAGCTATCTAACAAGATCGATTCTGTATATTTTGTCTAATGCGTGCATTATTAATTGTTTGTTTTATTTTTACAATGAGATGAAAGTAAATTGACCACTAATTGGCACATTCACTTTATTTATTAGCTCATTTATCGGTGCGTAGCTGTTGCGGTTAAGAAAAAGGAGAAAAGAAGGAAGGAAAACAATTTATTTCGGGCGCGTTTTAACAATTTACGTGGCCTAACAATGTACAAACACGTCGTGTGTAACGATCTAAGCACGTAACGGGTTGCACGACGTGCTGCTCGCACGGACGCCGCATGCATAATTGATCGTACAGATGACATAATTCATCGGTGATCAGAGCGCAGCGTGGAGTAACGGCACGCGTCATTGCGTCGCGCGCGATTTTGTTCGCGAACTACCCACGAAGCGGAACACATCAGAAACGTCACGAATTTCGATTTTCGTGTTACTCTCTCTCTCTCTCTCTCTCTCTCTCTCTCTCTCTCTCTCTCTCTCTCGCTCGCTCGCTCGCTCTTTCGCTCTCTCGCCTGGCCTATCTCCATTATATCGTAAATTATGTGTCGGCCGGCTCGGTACAACGCGACGTGGTCTTTCGAAATTGATCACGATTCCGCGAGGCGTATCGTTACTGAACGCGCGGTCGGAAAATCACACGTGACGTCCAGCAAGGCGGATAAACAGGCTGACGGATAATTCGGCCAATCGGAAATTTTGATTACAATCAAACGCCGCGCATGATCGCGCGCTTGGATACTTTCAACGCCGGGTAATTTCGACCAAAGCGCTCTCACTGGAAACACACGCGACTTTGCGGCCCGGCTGCCGCGGTAGACGGAGGATTTGCATCGTGTCTCGTACATCGTAATGCTTTTGTGGCACCAAGATCGCCGCGGGATCTTTCGATTTGCATGCGTGTCGTAAACAGCGCGCGCGATGTTGACGTTTGTTCGGCTGCGAATGTCTCCCAAGATGCTTTTGGCGTCCCATGATATGCACGGATAAAACGCATCGACTGCACGTGCAGCAGCGCCATGGCTGGCAGACGAAGAAACGTACACGGCGCACTATGTTATCACTACGCGAAACGTATCAAGGAGCATGTGCGTCATTTCCCACTGTGAAAAATTGATACGGTCGCGTACAATCGAAAGTTCATCGGCCGAGTGCCCGTCTCACGAGCGCCGCGTTCGGGTTTCGGGGCTAACTTTCGGCCAGAAACAACGCACGTATCGTGCGTTCCGTTCGCAAAGCCCCTTGAATTTAATTGGGAAACGGTAATGCAAGCGAGAAATTACGGCTCGCGCGCGCCGAGAGCATCACCGTGAATTGAAGGTAACTTGCGCGCGAATACCGTTCGTGACAGATAAACGCGCGCTTTTCGCGCGCGTGTCTGACTGGTGTGAGCTCATGTCGAGAAAATTGCATTCATACCATAAACAAAGAAGCAGTTATTCGACAAACATAATGCGGTGAATTGCGAATGAAGGAGGGAGGAAGGGAGATAGAGAGAAAGAGAGAGAGAGAGAGAGAGAGAGAGAGAGAGAGAGAGAGAGAGAGAGAGAGAGAGAGAGAGAGAGAGAGAGA